CTTCTTTTCCCATTCCACTACCGAATTCATTTGTGCTCCTGATTCCGGAAGCACTTCCGATGCATGATTCAAAGCTGAGAGGATATGTTCAGGGGGGGGGGAATCGGTCATTGTTCCGATTCATAAGAAAGGCTCTCGCGAGGGTTTCGCCAATTACCGCGGAATTTCGTTTATCTTTGTTGCCTTCAATATTTTCGTGTCGGTTCTACTCCTCAAGCTCTCAACGACTAGAGAAGGTGTTGGAGGAGTAAGCTAAATACAGTTATGCTTGTGTAGCCGACCGGAGGTGTTGAATAATCATGACTGTTTCATTCGAACAGTTGCAGTCCCTCCTCCAGCAGCAGCAATTACCTTTTGAAAAGTCTTACGAGCAGTTACTTGAGTTATCAGGAAAAAACTGAACATCCAAGGGCATTGGGAACCGGAACCCAGGTTGATGTCGCATGAAATTGAATCTGAATGTCATAGGCTGCTCAATTTGAACAATGACAAAAATAATTGAAGTTTTATATTCCAGTACAGAACCCTAATCCTGTCATACAGTTATTCTTGGCCAACATTTGAGCTGTGGTGTGCTGGACTGGAAGCCCCCGACAGAATTTTGGAACGGTGGTGCGAGGCAACCAACGAGAGATTGCACCTACAAAAGTCCTCACTGTCAAGAAGCACGCAACTTCAGGCGCGTGCGTACTCCAAAAGTGCAGGCATGCTTAAAAGTGTAAAGGACCAGATTCCGCTATGTATCAAGATTTGCAGGGAAGAGAAGACGCCTGACAATGAAACGATGATGTTCCCAAGTCCCTACAGCCACAAACAGTGTCTGCTATCACGATCGATAAGAACAAACATTGACAAGACGTCGGTCAAACTAACCAAATTCATGGCCCAAAATGAACCAGGGGTACTGTTACAGCCAGATAGTAATCGCCTGTGAACAAAGACTCAAGGAAATGCAACTCCTGGAAACCATTTACCTAGCCAGACTTACGGACATTAATCTGTCCAAAGTGGAAGGAATTCAGAAGTTATACTTGCTCAATGAGTCAACGAATCATGTCATGTCTTGCACTAAAGGGCATAGATGTCCTGAATACTCCTGTGTTGACAACGTACTAGAACGAACGACACTGCACACTTGCTCTGAGATCGAACCACCTTGGTGTTGGGTGCATGTGGACCCAGGTGGGTCCGCTCGTCCGAAGAGTTATGTGACCTCCAGGCAACTCATTTCTAAGCGAGGGAGGTGTTGGCGGAGTAAGAAAAATACAGGTATGCTTGTGTAGCCGTTCATGACTGCAGACTTTCCTTCTGCAATAAAGGTTCACCGATGTTTTTTTAACGCATCCTTTCATCATCCCCATTGGCTGTTTGGAGTCATTGTTTTTGCTTGCAAATCGTAGGCATACATGGACACTATCGCTTACACCTTACGTCCTTTGTGTGCACTTGATTGGTTTCTCATTTGTTCCGTTCTTATTGGCTTTAATTGTCCGCATGCTTACCATACTCTGATTGGCTTTCATGCTTGTGCGTTGTTATTTAAGGAACTGGTTTCCCTATGTAAAAGTACCCTTAAATCTCTGTCCCAGATCGTCCGTGTTCTCACTACCGTAAGCAGGCAGAACAATGTAATAATAATGTGTCAGCTTTACGCCGTAACGGCGCTTCGCTGCCGCGCAACCACCACCAGTCGCGCGCGGGCTGAGTATACCACGAGGATGCCCACCCCTACGCGGATTCGAACCGGTGACCTCATGGTTGCAAAGCAAACGTGCAGACCACTCGACCACCGGCCGACAGAAAGTAGTCGCGGGGCTCCGACACAACAGAAGGCGTTTCCTGAGAGAAACAAGCGGGTTTCCGTCCAGGTCGAGGTTGCATTGACCACATCTACACACTCCGCCAACTTCTTGAACTTCATCACTTCCGCCGATGGCCAACATTTGGACATCCGAGTGGAATTCGACTCAGTAGATAGATCTATGTTGTGGAACTGTCTACTAAGTAAATATGTGTTCGACAAGTTTCTAACCATCCTGAGGGATGTCTTCAGTCACACGTCGGACCAAATGAGAGCTTACGGCACGCTTTCCACCTTATTTGCTGTCAACAGCGGTGTGCGCCAAGATTGTCCTATTCCATTTGTCTTCTTCAATTTCGCCATTGAAGATGTCGTCCAGCGGGCATTGGAAGGCGTCCAAAACTGCGGTATTGAGCTTCTCCCATGTGACAGAGTCGCGGACTTGAACTGCACCGATGATATCGTTTTGCTTGGGGACTATCAACAAGCCATCTAGAGCGCTCTAAACCGCTTAGTGATGGAGGCATTTATTCATAAGTATACACGTTAGCTGAAGGTGGAAAACACCTCAGCTATTGTGCCGCAATGCAAAAAAAGAAATAGACGCAACAGCGGCACACCGGCTGACTCACCAGTAACGGATGGACGTCAATCCGGAGAGTTAATATCCAACTGTTATACCGCGATGAAGTCATCTTATGCCTTAAAATTGACCTCGTGGTCGGAGGCTGGAGGCCAAGTGTTAGGTGGAGGGACAAAGAAACTCACAACAAGCGCCATTGAGGACCACCCCTAGCCATGTCAACATATGTATCTAACCAAACGTATTCATCATCTTTCGGTCCCCAACCACGGAGCCGAGAGGCTCTAACCGAGACTAACTTCGAATTAAGGGCCTTTATTCCTCGTCGCTTGGCCACCTCTCCTCTTCCATCCCCTCCTCCTGTGCGCATACAACGCACGTCGCGAGAGTCGGTGGCCTGGCATGCGCAACACGTGGGCCAGCCATCGGAGCCCGTTGGTTGAAATAACGGTGCTGAGCGGTTCGCTTCTTCTTCCTGCGCAATAAACAAGGCGATGTAGGCATCTAAGTATGGCCTGTATTTCACGCGAGGCACATATAAAATACCACTGCATGATTGACAGATACCTGTACTTTCCCTCACCATTGCTCGCGATGTCCTGAAGCAAGTCCTCTGCTTCACTTATCTAGGGAGTTGCATCACAGCTGGCGGCTGTATTGGAGTCGAGGTCTCACAACGGATCGCAAAGGGCAGCCTTGTATTCATCAGACTGAGATAATTATGGCGCTGTCGCGAGGTTAGTCTCAAACTCAAGGGCGGGGTATACATTGCTTCTGTCCATGCGGTCCTCTTGTACGACTATGAGACCTGGCCGACTCGCTCGAAAGACATAAAACGATTGTCATTTTTCTACAGTGGTTGTCTGCGCAGGATTGCTCGCGTGTGGTGTCCTCCTCACATGAGTAACGCTGATGTCCGTAATCGAGTGCTTGGAGCAAACAGCCTATACATCCAAACGGTTAATCTCCGACACTGCACGCGTTGGCTCGGCCAAGTATTGCGCATGCTAGCCTATCGCCTTCCGCGTCGAGCGTTAGTTGCGCTTCCCGGAAGCGACCTTCAAAGTGCCGCGGTGGACAACCAATAACGGCGAAAGAGCCTGAAGATGACAACCTCAAGCTTAGTATCCGTCGGACCGGTCCACCTTCCAGGATGGGGACCATGCGATTCGGACTGCCAGTGGTTACAAACGTTGGAAACCGTGGCGCGCAGCAATCATCCGTGGAGTGATGTTCAACTGCTTTATCTATTTGTAAAGGTCTCATCGAATTTAAAACACAAAATGGTCTCAAAATGGCGGGAGTAAAACCGAAAAAGTCGTT